TTCTTTGGTGAATTGTACAAATCTGAGAATATAGATGGTGAAAGGGATATGACTTTGTTTTTTCAGAAGCTTAAGTTACCTAAACTTGACTTGCAAGATAATTTGTCACTTGGTGCTAAAATTACTGTCGATGACGTGAAAAAGTCAATAAATTCTTTAAAGAATGGAAAAGCATGTGGTCCAGACGGTTTCCCAGCAGAGGTCTACAAAACCTTTGTGGACATTTTAGCTCCTTTAGTTACAAGAACGTTTCAGTATGCTTCTAATGAGAAGAAATTGCCAAAGACAATGCAGCAATCTATTATCTCAGTAATACCAAAAGACCACAAGGATCCAGAAAACCCTGCATCATACAGACCATTATCAATTCAAAATACAGATTCAAAGATTTTAGCAAATGTTCTGGCAATGCGATTAAACAACGTGGTACATAAATTAGTTTCTAGCGATCAAACAGGCTTCATTAAGACGCGACAGTCTAGCGCCAATGTAAGGCGACTGCTTGGGATATTACAGTATGTAGCATATAAAAAAGAAAAGGCAGTGGTCATTGCATTGGACGCAGAAAAAGCTTTTGATCGCGTTGAATGGAAGTATTTATTTAGAGTTTTAAAAGAATTTTCATTTAATGAAAGTTTCATCAATTGGATTAAATTATTGTATACCAATCCTCAGGCAGCTCTTTTGATTAACGGAACTGCATCTGAAACATTCTTGCTGGAGAGAGGAACAAAACAAGGATGCCCTCTGTCCCCTCTCTTATTTAACTTAGTTATTGAGCCATTGGCGGCATCAATAAGAACGAGCAAGGAGATAGAGGGCATTGAAACAGAGAGCAGTTCCCATAAGATATCGCTTTATGCAGATGATGTACTTTTATATTTGAAGAATCCTGCTAAATCTATTCCTTTACTAACCAAAATGATTGAAAACTTTAGTAAGTTTTCAGGATACAAAATAAATTACGAAAAATCATTAGCTTTTCCGCTTGGCGATAGAATAAGCTCATTAAGCTATCACCCTTTTAAGGTGACCACAAAAGGATTTAAATATCTTGGTATATATTTTTGTGCAGATTTTTCAAAATTGATAAAACATACTTTATTACCTGTAATAGCTAAAATAAAAACTGACCTTCTAAGATGGACTAATCTTTCACTATCTTTGTTGGACCGCATAGCCATAATCAAAATGAATGTTCTCCCTCGCCTGTTGTATGTTATCCAAATGCTACCTATTTATATTCCATCCAAAATGTTTACAAAAATACACAGTGCGGTAGGAAAATTTGTGTGGAATAATAAAAGGCCAAGGATGGAACTTCGAAAGCTTCAACTACCAATAAAAAAAGGAGGACTTGGCATCCCAAATTTTAAATTTTATCATTGGGCTGCACAATTAAAATTCATGGCAGAATGGATTAAAAAAAGCCATTTCTGCTTTCCAGATTTGGAAGGTATAGGTCTGGATAGGGTTCAATTAGAACACCTTCCGTTTATATGTTTCACAAAAATATATACCAAGATTAAGAAAAATTATATACTGAAAAATATTTGTAGATCTCTCAGTGCTGTTCGTAAATATTTTGGCCTTGACAAATATTCATTTTTGGCTCCCATTGCTAATAACCCAGATTTTAGACATACCTGTATAGATGCTGGTTTTAATGAGTGGAGAGAAGCTGGTATCATAAGAATATTAGATATGTATGCAGATAATGCTCTTAAGTCTTTCCAACAATTACAGTACGAGTTTAATATTTCTCAAGCCCATTTCTTTAGATATTTACAAATGAGAAGTTATCTTAGTTCTATTGAATACTACAAACAAGGTGGGAAAACAAATGTGCTTGATAGCATTTTATTAAAAGCAGCTGCATTGAAAAGTAAAACAATGACATATATTTATGACCAAGTTACAGCAAATAATAAAAGTTTAATAAATATTAAACAAAGTTGGGAACTTGATTTTGGTGTTACACTGGAAGACCAGATATGGGGCAAAGTATTAGAACATGAGACAAATTACTAAATCAAACAAATCATATGAAATACAATATAAAATCATTAACAAGCTGCATGTGACTCCTTTAATTCGAAGTAAATATGACACATCATGTACAAAGTTCTGCTTGAAGTGTAAAAGGAACACAGGTACTTCCACTTAATATGGACCTGTCCTCTAATTGCATCATTCTGGTCTTCGGTTGTTCAGGAAATTGAAAAATCGTTTGCCATTAAAGTGCCACTGGATCCTAGATTGTGTATCCTTGGTGTAAATAATTGTGTGTTGGAAACAAAAATAATATCTATAATGTTGTATGCTGCTCGCCTTTCCATACTTCATGTTTGGATCAAAGAACACTCCCCTACTTTAACTCTTTGGCGTGAAAAACTCTTGTCACTCTTACCATACGAAAGACGGCATAATGTACTGGATGGAACTCTGGATACTTTTGTAAATGATTGGTCTCCTCTTAAAGACTATTTTGGACGTGAATGGCAAGTAATAACATGTATTAATATGGATTGAAAACAAGAAGTGTACATGTATTGGATCCCCCAAATAAGTATTTAAATATGGTCTGCGGTCTGTATAAAACTTGCGTAGAAAATGTGTATATATGTGTGATACCTGTGTATACATGAAGTATAAAATTGACACTGTTAACTAACTAAATGTAGACATAGCAGACATGTAATAATTATTTATTTATTTGTTATTATTATTATTATATGTTTTTTTATTATTATTATTTATTTATCTTTTATTATTATTATCATTTATTTATCTTTATTTATTTCTTTATTATTATTATTATTATTATTTTTTTATTATTATTTTTATTTTTATTTTTTTATTGCTTTGGTAAGAGGGAAAAAAATGTGAAAATAAACAGTAAAAAAAAAAAAAAAAAACTGTGTATTTTGTTTTTTGTTTGTTCCAAAAGATTTACATATAATTTACAGTCATTTTTAAAATGTGAAAAATTTGGTTTGCATTGAGCCCATTTATTTTTAAGTAGCCTATATGGTATTTTCCTAACAAAATAAATAAAACTGTATAGCTTAATATATGGGAGATTTGGGCACAGCCTAACACATTTTGGTTTTGGCTCAATTATTAAAAAAATAATTAAGTTAGATGCATCTTTTTTTACACAAGCAACATACACATCTCTGCTACTAATGAACACTTAAAGTTTTTTTCCAGGAGCTTCCATTTCCACAGTTGCACTGAAAGTGACAGAAGTGCAAATGTTACAACTTATGCGGGGTTAATTGTAACAGACAGAGGGGTTAGTTGTAACACTTGTTACATTTAGTAACAATTTAGTAGGCTACTATTTTATCTGTATAGTTTGATATTGTTTGTACATCTGTATAGATAGATATCCATACATCCCTCATCCAATCATCCTTTTATGGATCAATATCATGGAGATATATGAAAGGGTTGCACAGTTTTGCAATAAATAAATAAATATATAAAATGATCAAATATTGTAATTGCTATTGAATTATATTTTTGTGCGGCAGCTGCATGCAAAATTATTATTATTAATAATAACAGTAGTAATAATAAAAACGACCTCAAAATCACATTTTAAAGGGTTTATTGCATCCAAAACAGGCTTTTTAATAAATAAACAAGTGATCATTGATCAATGCATAGAAAACAAATGTGAAAAAAACATACTTTGACATTTAAATTCCAAAATTGTTTGTAAAAGTCCAACAAAGTTAAATATACAAATAAATAGGCTACTCAAACCTGAAAAGTTGTGTTGCTCCCTGTTTTCATTTGATTATCATCTACACTTGGCGGCTAGTTGTAACACTGTGCTACATCTAACCCTGCTGTGTAAAAAATGTTTAAGCCTAGCCAACTAGGAGTTGCTGACACACACAAACTGTGCTATGTTTTAGCCAACAAGACAGTGATTAAGGTCATATAAAGTTAGATTTGGTGACGTAATACACACAACTCAAAAATCGAAAAAAACGTATGATGAAAAAATGTAGGCTACATGGTGTCAAAACACTCTTGTCTTTGTCCAGTATCTTCACGAATAAATTCATTAAAGAATCATTAAGTTAGCTATATACTTAAGCAACGACTGTAGACTGTAGACTTTAAAGAGAGACGCACACAGGTAACTCGCGCACGCATCTCTCTCTCTCTCTCTCTCTCTCTCTGTTCCTTCACTTTCAGTTCTATGTCTCTCTCTCTTTTAATAATGAATTTAAATAAATGTGATAATTCATTCAAATAAAAGCAATCCGATGGCTCTACTTTATTTAAAGCGGACGCTAGAACTAACAAGCTGTAACTTAAGAAAATAACCGTCATTTTTACACGTCTGTTAAAAAAATTACACTGTAAACATCAGTTAAAGCTTTAACTTTTTTTTAACTTAGCAAATAACCAAGGTTTAAGCGGGATAATCCACGGCTAGCCATGCATTAAAGGATTTTAATGCACGACATAGAGGCGAAGAACCACCCGATGCGAAGCGGAGGATTATCCCTTACTTAGCCCCGCACTCCCCATGGTGTTCTTTACATTGAACAGTGGAAAAAACAGATATTAAACCTTGCGCATGTGTTGTTGTTGTTGTTGTTGCCTACACGACGATGTAAATCCCGTGACGCTCACCGTCACCGAACGCGTGTGATGTAGGAAATTCCGTGACGCCCACAGTGGGCGGACCGTCCGTGACGTAAAGCATAAAGCACTTCATTCATAGCAACAGCCACAGAGATGTCAGATCTGCGCTGGAGATCTCAGCTCATCACAAGGTGAATATAGCACTTTGTCTTTAATTATTAAGTAAAGAGATGTTTATTAATTAATATATTTAAATATGGGCATTTATGTTCGTATTACAGTGAAACTGAAATGTATCGCTACTGTACAGTAGACCTGTATACAGCACAACAATATTAATTGCATTTTCATCTTTTTAAACAGATTATACAAAGGCAGAGTGTAAATGAATGCACTGGAGAACATATGAAGCATCACAAACTGCAGGATAATTAAACGTGACGAGTGGAAAATGGTGAACAAAAAGGACACAAAGTTACAATCTAATGAGCCGAAAAAGACGCCGAGACTAGTCAGAGAAAACAGCATTAATGGTGGCAAACCAAACTGTGAGTATTTCTAAACTGTGCCTTTTCATTCACTGTACATAAACTTTATATGAAAAGCACCAGCCTACTGTTCTGTCATTAACGGCACTGGAACAAAAGAGTAACACAATATTATAATACTTTCCACACACGCCACATGACGAAACTTAGTGTATTTAGTTGCCATATCAACACTATATCGAGAAAAATTGAGGCAAAATTAAAAAATATTTGGAAGATATAACTGAACATTTATTTAACCGCATAGCAAAATTGAATTTCTTAATTAATCAAGTTAATTTTTCATTTCTGTTTTTTGTGTTTATTTAAAATAAGACAAATATGATATTATTTTAATCTTATCTATTATTTAACAGTTGATATGGTTCTTTAATGCTTCGCTAATTAGCAGAAGACACTACCAGGGTTTAAACCCCATTTGCTCAGGCGGGGCATGTTGTCACACTGCGTTACTATGAGCCCCTATTAGAACTGTGATATTCTATTCTATACTTTTATGAATTCTATTGAGAAACCATGACAAAAGGGTGAATAAAGACTATGTTCAGAAATGATTAATTATTATTATGTTTTGAACTATATGCTGTACAGCTGTGTTTTGTTTGTTTGTTGTCAAACTCAAAAATGTGTTTATTTTTAATTATTAAAAATGGCATTATTTTACATGAATAATAATTGTATTTTATTGACAAAATGTTATAGTTTGCCTTGTATATATATATATTAACATTTTAACGAAAAAAGTGGTAGTAGCAGTGTTGGGAGTAACGCGTTACAAAAGTAATGCATTACAGTAACGTATGACTTTTTGCTGTAACACAGTAGTGTAATGCTTTCACACCGAACGCGAATAGAGCGTCTAGAGCACGTTATTTCCCTGTTAAGTCAATGTAAAGATGCGTTGACACGTGTCTGGAGGTCCTGCGGCGAGATGGACGCGATTTCGCCTCATTCGCGCGTCTAGTCTTGACGAATTGAAAGAGGCGAATTGAGCGTCTGGCGTGTTACGCATGAGTGATTTTATTTGGTGCCTTTTGTTCATTCACGCGTTTTCAATTCCAGCAAATTCGCGTCTGACGCCCAAGTTGAAAAATCTGAACTTTGGCGCCTGTTCGCCCCGCGTTAACCAATCAGGAGCCTGCTTGCTGCTGTCACGTGCAGAGAGGTGATAAACGCAGCTGGGATAGAGCGCCCGCTGGGATCCTCGCTCTGATGCGGGACAACAGGTCATCAAGCTGGGCACGGGACAGGCGGAAGCACCGCTGACAGCGGCCGTCATCCAGGCGCAGCTCCTGGAGCGAGTGGTGAAACTCGCCAGACTGGGAACGCCTCCGGAGAGTCCGGTGGACCCGAGTACGGCGACGACGATCCATACGCCACTGTTCTGCTCTCCAGAGCAAACACAGAGCGGTGACTCTCTCGATGAATGCTCGATCAACATCAGCCATCTTGCAAACAGAACCGCACAGCACTGGCCCCTCCCACAAGAAGCGGATTCGCCTCATTCGTGCGTCAATTTCGCTTCAAACGCTCGCTTTATAATCCACTCGAGTGGATTCAAAATGTTCAAGCGTCTAACTAGACGCGGTAGAAGTGAATTTGACGCTCAATTCGCATTCAGTGTGAACGCGGCATAAGGCATTACTAATCAATTTTCAGTAATATTTTACTCGGTACATGTTCAGTAACGCTTGCGTTACAACACACTTTTAGCCCAAAATGTAATTGTAAAAAAAAAAAAGAAAAAAGAAAGAAAACAGCAAGATTGTGAGACAGTAACGAATGAAAAATGTAAGTTATTACAAGTTCGTGGTCAGTCAATAGCCACGTGTGGTGTCAAAGTTTGTATATAAAGACTAAATGACAGCTTCTGATATGTTTGTATAGCGATTTATTTCATTCATCTCGCTCTTGCTGGTATTGTGTGACCTAGTCCAGTGAAGGCGTGTTTAGGGCGTGTTTACAGGAGAGCGAGGCATGATCTCGACCTCTCGCGCTGGTCAGTGGAAGAGCGGCTGATGGTGAAGATGGCAGAAGAAGACTGTACATTCGCCAGATGGACATATGCGCATTACATCGAGTTTGTCAGAGATAAGGACAAGAAGAACCTAATAGTCAAATGCAACCTTTGTCTAAAACCGAAAGAAGCGACGTCGCGAAATAGCACTAGCAATTTAAAAAAACAAGCTATGTTGTTAGTAGCCTGCTAGCCCACAGTCATTATGCTACATCATATCGCCTTGGATGTAAAATGCTCTGGAGTACATTTTGTCTTTTAAGAATGTTAAGTTCTACTTCTGTATAGTTATTTTGGTGAAAGCAACTCAAAAGTAATACAGGAGTAATGTAACACATTACAATTCTGAGACAGTAATATTGTAAGGTAAATAATTACTTTTAAATAACAGTAACAAGTAATCTATAATGTACAGTTTGGAAGTAACTTGCACAACACCTCTGATTAGCTAATAGTGAACTATCATTCAGCTGCGTGCCATTTCTAAATCATTAATCATTTTTTGTTAGTTAATAGTAGTTTCTAGAATGTTAATATTGTATTGGTCATTTGTTCCTGTGTAGTTATTTATTAATGTTGGAACAGTATTCTAAAGTGTTACCAATGTATTTACAGATGTGGTCATAAGTTTACATAGTCATAGTTATTATTCTGTGTTGAGGACCGTATGTAAACCTCTGTTATGTGAAATACATTTCAAGTCTGTTATGCTTATTCAGGGCAAGACAGAATTAAAACATCATACAATATATATGTTTTTGTAAATGTGTTAATTTCTGCACATTTTGTCTAATCTGTAAAGTGTATGTAAAATTACTTTCCACAACTGCATGTATTTGGCGGATGCTTTCAACTAAAGTGACACTGATTCATGAATCAGTTCTGAGGAATCGAATCCATCACACGCTCTGCTGTTTGAGCTACACACGAAGGCTATAATCAGATTTTTCTGTTTTTCATTCCCAGTTTCTGACATTGCAGAGTTTCAGAAGAGTCTCAAACAAGGTGAGAGATTTACACATACAGAAACGTCTAAGGGTTACGCATGTTCCACTGGCTCCTTTTAAAGGGAACTCAACGCTGTGTTAGTTACTATCCCTATGTGGAACCCAGTGTGTGTGTGTGTGTGTGTGTGTGTGTGGACAGAAGAGAGGTGGTGAGTTCAGGTCGAGCTAGCTCACGCCATGAGGACACGCAACAAGAACGAGTGCAATTGACAATGAAAGCCGAGGAGATTTACACTGTAAGATGATGAGTTGATTTAATATACTCTCGTTCATAGAGATTTTTAGATTGATACTGAGGCTTTTTAGGTTGTGTGCAATCTGCAATCTCTGACCCAGTTTGCTTGCTGGCTGCAATGGTGCAAATTAGGGTTGCCGCGGTGAGGAAAATTTCCCACCGGTTAATCGACGTGTCACAACACCGGTAATCCCGGTGTCACCGTGGGGGGCGGGACGGGGGGGTTAAATAGCTTTTAAATGCGTCCGCGTTATACTTTCACTTTCGAAATAAGCGTAAATTGCTTGAATGGACAAAAAAACAACAACTCGGCTCGCTGATAATAAAACTTTTATTTATAGACAGAACTTTTATTAGCATAACGAACGAATAAAAATAACCCCATGCATAGGCTGAAAATCGTCAAACTGTGGGCCCAAACAAATAAGAACAATAAAACGTTTATTAACGAATAAGAAAATAAAACAGGCCTAAATAAATGACACATTCCGCCATTATCTTGCTTTTCTGTAATTTGACTCGTTCTCATCTCCACACGTGCTAAATGGACTCCTGATGCTTGCTGATCTGTGACGTGACTGGCTCTTGGCACGCACTGCGCAGTTCAGTTTTTAATTATAATGTATGCTCTCTTCTGAACTAAATAATTGATCATTATTATTTTTAATTAATTCAAATAAATATTTTAGCAAAAACGAATACTTTAAAAAAGTCAAGACATCGCGGTGTCACGGTGGGAAAGTGATGTCACCGGTGATGGGGCTTAAAACCGGTAACACCGTCAACACCGTCTATCGCGGCAAGCCTAGTGCAAATACGCTGTGTTTCCTAACAACTGACACCCCGTGGTGTCGAAACACTAGTGTGTGAACTGTCAGTGGGCGAGATCACACACACCAAAACAACAACCGACATTCTAACATGGAACACAAGTGTTTTTCAGAGAAACGAGTGTGTGAACTCAGCATGTTTCCTCAATACATGCAAACATATTATGGTATTTTTATGCTTTAGTAGAGTAAAAGTTACATACAGCACCTTTAAGGCCCAACTTTTTTTTAAATTGGGGAGGACAACAAGTGAAGAGTGGACATAAACCACATTCAACCTCCCCTGTGTAGTTCTACACTCATAAGCATATCTGTCAGGTGACGATATTATCGCCACAAGTTCGCTAAGGAAGTGTGCTATACTGCGCTAGCACATCATGGAGGGGCAACAGTGGGCGTAGTCCACTTAGGGCTGGGTGTGCAAATATAGTGACTATGTTTACACAAACACCTGATGGAAGTGATATAGAAACATCAGCTTTTAAAAAACACATTCACATTCACATACCCACCCACAATCTCACAATCGAAGCCACTGAGCAGCTTCAGCTTCACACACACTCGACTGTCATCGCTTCAGAAACGAGCTGTGAGAGCAGAGCTTCCTCAACGCATCTGTCAAATGCACTTGCTCTACTTCCATTGGCAAGACGAGAGCCTCCAAAGAGGACGCAATGCCAGGAGAGAGATATTCACAAGCAACAATACTCACACAGCCTTTCCACATGCGAATATTTGACTGTGACTCCTCAATGTGGAGATCTAAGACTTCTGTGTGGCAGCAGAAGAGCTGGATTATTAAAAGCATCCGCCTCAACTTTCTCTGCACATCTAATTACCAAGAACTACACACACCACATGATATCATCTTAGGGTGGAACTGGCCTCAGAGCCACAGACTTCCTGAGCCGACACGAGAGCATTGATGCTTAATTAATATCGATATTTAATTGGAAGAATTCGCAGAGCAAGCTTCCAGATCTAAAAAAGGGACTTGAGAGCAATGGAGCAAACATGAGAAGACCAAATAAAAGAATAATCTCATCGAACTCTTCCTCATGCTCTGCACAATCTCCACTATTGATACCCAAACCGTGAGGGGCAGACGCTCGACTCTCATCTCTCAAGACAGCGAGCGACACACAGCGAATGAATCACAATAAAACGCTTTCAGCAGATTTCCCTCTGTGCAAATACTTGCATCTCATCCCTCGAGAGAGAATCCAGCAAGCTCTTATCTTTATAAGACTGGTGCGATTACACACACACGCTTCAGACACTGGTTTCCATGGATGATCCCCATAGCATGAGCAGCTGACGCAGTGTTGAGTTCCCTCGAGAGGCGACCAAATAGAGTTATAACTGAAGAAGTGATGCACAAATCTGTTATTTTGATCTTTGTTTGTGTTATACTTCTGAGAATGTTTTTCTCTTTTCTCTTAGAAAGCAGCAGTTCTAATAATCTAAGCAGCAAGATATTCTCCATATTTTAGAAAAAAAGGTCTGAATTTTTTTTTTAATATAGAGAAAAAAATTATATGATGTGGTAGGGAGCTAAAACGCACATGCGTGTTCTTTTTATGTGTTTCTTAGAGGTTGAATTCATATCAAAATCTGCCAAACTTCTCATATTACTTCTGAATAGGATGTCTACTTCATAAATTGTATGAAAATTGTGAAAATAATGGTTCATATCATCAATGGAGGCGCCCTTATATGGGCAGTAATGGAGTCTGGTTGTCATCTAGTGAAAAAGTATGGCACTGCGCCCAAACAAAATCTTACTGAAAGCTCATTTTTTGAGATATCAACCTAAAATTTGAAACACAACTTGTTCAGATTTTTGGCTTTGATTTTTTTTTGCAGTTTTAGAGTCGCCCAGGTTTTGAAAATATATATTTTATATAAAATATGAATAATTAAATTTTTTACATTGTACATTTTCACAAACTCAAACTTCTATAACTTTTTTTCTGTTTCACTTTCTTAATTTATTTCACTTCTACAAAAATCTGCCAAATGTCTTCTTTAAAACAAGACCAATCTTACGTCTATATTCCAAAGCATTCTTGAATTACAACCATTTAAGTTCGAAATGTGCATTTTCATGTATATTCAAAAAAAAGGGGGGTGACACTTAAAGGGTTAAGACTATCTTGCATGCATTGAATGTAATGGATGGAGATGAAAGGCGCTGGTAAAGATCTTCCACTAAGGCTCAACTCCCTCGAAACGAACTGATTAGTCAAGCGATTAAATAAGAAAATAATATACATTGTAAACAGTTTTGTGGTTGAAAATGAAATAGACTGCTCAAATGAGGATGTGTTGAATGTGCTGGACAAGCACAAATTACTTAAAGCATAATTTGAGCTTGACCTGCAAACTTAGGGGTCATTGTTGGAGGTGTTATGTGTGTGGGTGCAGGGGCGGACTGGCCATCTGTGTGATCTGGAGAATCACAGAACGGCCGGTACTCCAGGACGGCCGGCGGGCCGGCCCACCAGCCGCCACACACGTCCCAAGTCTCCCGCATATTGATAGCGGCTCCCTGATGTCCGCAAATTAGTTAAAATCTCCCGGAATCTAGAGCGAGCAAGAGCGCGCATGCGTAGCGCGTGCACGGCAGAGAGAGAGGGAGCGAGAGATTGCGTGTGTGTGCTAGTGTGCGCGTGTCCCTCACGAAGCGCATGTAAGGACCCAACCAATCAATTGTCAGTGCGGGCGGGCTTTTATCTCTACTACTCCCGAACCGAATTAATCAGAAATTACTTTGCAAGTTACTTGCTAGGGATGATGTTAGGAAGTGATATTCAGCTTGCTACATTTTTAATGATTACAGTAGTTAAAACAGCTAAACTTCAACATTTTAGCTGTAAAATGCCTGTATGCAGGAGCTAATATTAAGAAATATGTTGTGCTTTTACTTTTAAAAATGTTGGTAATGTTACAGTTAATGCTTACAAACTTTGAAGATTTTGAATACAGAAGTTACATTTGTAATGGTGTATTTTCATTTAGATGTGGTATTATTATTTGTGCAGTAGCTAAGATTAATTACTGTATAAACTAATTAAGATTATTAAGTAATAAATTCATTTTAAGACAGCATGGAATAGATTGTATAATATGCTGTTAGCTATAATTTGGATGGTATAGTATCATGAGCCACAGTTAAAGTGACACTCATGGCAGGCGTTATTGTTGTTGTTGTCGAGTTTCCGCGCACCGATTGCTTTGGGCCGGGCCTAGTCAAAGTCCAGGGCCGTTTTTTAGTCCCAGTCCGTCCCTGTGTGGGTGGATGTGTGTAGGTGTGTGTGGGTGTGTAGGTGTTCTGTGTGTGTAGGTGTGTGTGTGGGTGTGTGTGGACGCAACATGTTTAGAGTTGTTAGGAACACATGTATTTTTAAAGGGATCTGTGAACATCGTTTGCCTCAGACGTAGAAAATGTGTGAAACTAGAGAAAGGTCAAAAGGGCTGTGACGGTCAAAAGCTTTTGTGTATGTGCAGCATTACATAAGTGTGAAAAGGAAACATATATTTTGAATATGTGCTTCTGCAAGCTTATGTAAATAAAGGATAAGTCCAAAGTTTTACCTTATAAGGGAATAAGCTGTACTATAATGACAGCCCATAGTTAGAAGGTGGCCTATAGCAGGGTTAGTATAACATTTTTGTGGAGAGGTTTGTTCGAGGCCGCAATCCGGGTGAACACTTTTACGTGTTTATGTTATTTTTGCCGTTGGAATTTTTGTATTATTCTGAATCTTTTTAAATAAAACGAAATCATGTTGTGGTGATTCGTAAAACTTTTTAAACAAGTCTAAAGGCCATTGCACACTGAGTCCAAAATTCCAACCCGATATCACGGCAATTCGTACGAATTTTATGAGGTGGCTAATTCGTATGAATTCGTACAAAAAACCTACCCCAGACCCCGCCCCTAAACCTACCCCAGACCCCGCCCCTAAACCTAACCCAGACCCGCCCCTAAACCTAACCCAGACCCCGCCCCTAAACCTACCCCAGACCCCGCCCCTAAACCTACCCCAGACCCGCCCCTAAACCTAACCCAGACCCCGCCCCTAAACCTACCCCAGACCTAACCCTACCCCAGACCCCGCCCCTAACCCTGCCCCTAAACCTACCCCAGACCCCGCCCCTAACCCTACCCCAGACCCGCCCCTAAACCTACCCATCACGTGGGTTTAGACAAATTTAGAGTGAGGTCGTACAAATTCTTACGAATTAGCCACGAATTAGCCACCTTTTAATCACTCGTACAAATTTGTACGAATTGGTCGTGAGATAGCGTAGGAAATTCACATCCAAAATTTTGCACGTTAAAAAAAATTCGACCTCACGATATGTCAATCACGCCTGCACACTGCCTCTGAAACTTTCGTCCGTCATAAAAAAAAAATTGGATCGGGTTCGATTTTCTGTGTTTTTCGCATCCGCAGTTTGAATGGTGTTTGAAAGGTGTTTTGACAATTCAGAGCCACTGAATCACGAATACGAAAAAACGCATACGAAAATTTCGGACTCAGTGTGCAAGAGCCTTAAAGGGGTCATATAATGGTACATGCACTTTTACAAGTTGATTGTACTGAAATGTGTGTTGGCAGTGCCTGTACACAACCATCATATAATGATAAAAATCCATCCAGTGGTTTTGTTTTAATCTCCTTATATGTTTTCCCCTGCCTCAAATCGAGCCGTTCGAGCCTGTGACGTCACACGCTCGGAAGCCCCTCCCATGAGTGTTGATTGACAGCTGCGTTTCAATACAGACCCGCCCTCGCTCGTGAGTGAGCTGTCAATCATAGTCCGGGCGGACCGGCGCGGTCATTGTTGATATGCTGGAGCACTGTCTATGAGCAGAATGGCGTCTAAGCGATTGTGGTGTTCTGTTCTTGGGTGTAATAACGAACACAGTCATTTTAATGTTCCTAAATCCGAACCGCTGAAGACGCAGTGGCTGAGTTTGTTTTCGAAGGGAATATTCCCCACGAGCAACGTCAATGCTTTCATGTTTGCGCGAATCATTTCTCACCAGACTGCTTTATAAACGAGGGTCAGTATAAAGCTGGATTTGCTAGGAAGCTGCTCATGAAAAAAGGATCGGTACCAGATATTCGTGTTCCTGCTGCACCTCCAGAAGAACTGAAGTGAGTGTAACGTTTTATTAAACTTAATATTAATATTTATATTAATCCTTGTAAATCGCTAGCTGCACGCTTCACAATGAATGCGTCTAAGGTTTACACTCAGGGTACATTACGGCATGTTTTCTATATATGATGTTCTCAATATAATTCATAATCCCACGTTTATACTGAACAACGTGTTATGGTTATTGTGTTACAAACGGTGTACGCTCAGAACAGAGGGGTGGAGTCAGCAAAGCTCATGATCATTTAAAGTCATATGCACTGAAACGGCATGCTGAAAACAGAGCTGTTTTTGACCAGGTAAAATAAGTGTTTTCTTACAATACTAATGATAATTTTTAATTAAAGTATATTACAAACTTTTAATTTAGACCCTAAAGAATCATATTAGCTTGTACAAAAATGGCATTATTTGACCCCTTTAAGAGTATAATTTTTCCCTATTAATATGTCATGATTTTGTTTTTGTAATGAAATATTAATATTAGCAAACGCCCAGTGCATTTGAATCCAGGATTGAACTGGTAGAGGCACCGCCGAGGATCCTGAATCAACATCTGACATCTTTACTCTAAAGGCAAGGGCAATATTTGAGCAGCAGATTATGGTAATGTTGTAGAAGGATCTATAGAGGTTACAGTGGGATAAAAACACAACTCTACAAATATGCTGTTAGATACTTGACAAAACAGTGTTGTCTCTGAGATACAAACCCGTGGCTCACGGTAAATCAAGAAAACTAACATCGTTTTACAGTTTTTCTCGATTGCCCAAACACATTTAACTTGCTCTGGATCAGGTTTTATTCTGGGTTAGACATCGCAGACCGAAACTGGGCCAATCAGCTGTGAGTAAAGTGACATTTAATATCTGATGCCACAAAGCCACTTCCCCTGATCTCTCGCTCCAAATTAAAGCGGTTTAAAGTGAAAAAATTTTAGACACAAAATTGCTCATCTTTTGCTGCTAATTATTTATTATATTTATATTATGTGAATTGTAGTTATGTATAATACATATGATATATTCTTGGAATTATTATATTAATTTACAATTTATATTAAACTTTGCTTTTAAATTAATATAAAACTTTAAAATATACACTTTTAAACAGATTCAGCTTATTCTTTAGAGCTTTTTGTGAGACTATATAAGGCCTATTTGTTTGATTCATTTGCATTGTTACAGTCGGATATTTTATTTCAGCTGCCTTTGCAAAGTTTCGGTGCAGCAGTGTTTATTCCTGCCATGGAAATGCATTTCATTTCATTATTTTTATATTGGTCTCTTGATTTTCAGAAGAGAAGATTCA